TTTTAATAAGCAGAAATGGGCAATACCGAAACCCAACAGAGCGCCTCGTCTACATATGACGTACTATTTGGGAGAGCCGGAGGTTGTATACTGGCTCCGCCGGCGCGGAGTATGAAAACTGTGAAAGCCAGTCTAGCGAAGCACCGGCCAAACACCACAGAGGAAGGAAGAAAGCATAGCCGTGCTATACCGGTGCCAAACACCACAGCCGTCACCTTGTGGAAAGCATAATAAATGCTGTAGCGGCCAAAGTAGCGATGCCATCGGCTGCGTCACTTCGGTTGACATGCCAACCATCACGTCACACACAGTGTTGCCAACAATTTTGGCAAGTGAGGTGAGCTTTACGAGGCAATCTTTAAAATTCGTTTGCAAATGATCAGTGCATCACTAAAACCTGTGATTTGGCATGAGGGACTAAAATGTGCAAAGGAACATACCCAGTGAATTTCATTGAGATTCATTGACCTCAAAAATCGCCGGAGTTGGTCTTCAAGCAAATGACCCCAGCAGCGGATGAAAAATGGCTGCTTTAGCTGTTGTAGCGTTTTAAACTTAATGGAGTATTGTTTGGTTCAGCTGTTGATACTGCAGTTTACACCTCAGACTGCTTGCAAAATAGCACTGCAAGCGTGTGTATCACATGGTTTATGTATCAGATTTTGCCTGCCTTGGAGACCACATGACTTTCTACTGTGAGATTGTGTGCCTTTTTTATTCTTGATGTATTGTAGTATATTGTGTCAATTGTAATCGAGACGTCAACTTCTATAGTTGTGGTACTTATTATGGAATTGCTCAATTGGGTGAGTTGCCCAGAACTGTGCATACTTGTAAAGTTGAAGGAGTTGAGTCTTTGGTCAAAACAGTCACTTTCAGGTGTGTCCTTTTCAAAACACATGCAAATTGACTGAATTAACTGAAGGTGCCACCATGAAAGAAACCCTGTGGTTGGCATTGGATATTCACATATCAAATATGCCCATAATTTGGGTGACTGGAGCATCATGTGGATCATTATGGTCATGCGTGATGGTAAATTTGATAATGCCAAATTTTTTTGTTCTCGTATGTAAATGCAGATGTCCATTTGCTTCACACTGTAATAAACAGCTTTATATTTGCCCCACTGCATATTGTCGCTAAATGTATGGGATAATTTACAGGAAGTAGTAATTGTTACATGGATATTAACAGTGACTTTGTTTCCAGCAATGCAACTTTGTTGGATGCTTATATTTATCACTTGCAGCCTGTGGTGACAAGTGAAATGCACTGCCCAGCATCCTTCATGGCGACCTCTCTCTTCATGTTGTGCAATTGGAGTTTGAGGATCATTGCAAAAAGAAATAGTTTGCATTCCCATTGTGGAACCTTTACAATATGTTGGTGTCGAATGCTGAAAACACTCCATGTACACAGCAGAGCCAACAAAGTACGCTGCTACTTGGTCAGTTGCTACAACGACTTGCCACAGGAGCATATTGAGACACAAACACAAGACCCATGCACAAACTACCCAGGAATTATTTTTTGCTGTCTTTGGCGTATTCGAGTGTCTATGGGAGAGTCCCACTTAGCTTTCTCTCAAGTTCACCAGGTCACTGACCTTTACGTCAAATCAAAGAGCAGGCTCTTCTGGCCGAGTCAGATGGCACGATCAAAGAAGAAGCACTCGGCATCGGCCACTTTTTTTGGCATGGCAAGTATCGTGTGAGGAAGTTGTAGGGCTTGTGAAAGAAGGAACTCCTTCGGACAGAAGTGTAGCCCTGAGGGTACAACGCTCACTTCACTAGCATGTCACACTCACGAAATTCATTCATGCAAGAAGGGCCTTGACAGTAAAAATGGTTGTAACGAGAAGGGGGAAGAGGGTGCATAAAGCGTCACCTAAAGCGGGATTCACATGAGGGAGAAATACACAAGGTGTCAGCGATGTCCGAATGAATGTAGTCAAGGCAAGGTTCAAATTTTAAGAAAAACTGTATTGTGCTTGAACTGGTATAGCGCATTACGGGGAAGAAGAAACGGCCGAGCAGACCGACACAAGAGGACAGAGGCAGCACAAGAGGCTCTGTCCTCTTGTGTCGATCTGCTCGGCCGTTTCTTCTTCCCCGTAATGCGCTATACCAGTTCAAGTACAACGAACCAACTCGCCCAATCTTCAACACTCGTGTATTGTGCTAAGTTACAGGTGAATCGGCAGTGGTTGCATGTATAAGGAAACTGGACTCGGTGCAGGAGCTCGATCGGATACGTCCGACGCCACTCGCGTCTCGGCTCGCTCTGCGGTGCGTTGCTCTGCGCTCCCGGCTCGAATCTCGGCTCGTTCCCCTCTCTCTGGCGATGCGTCGCTATGCGGTCCCGGCTCGAAGGTTCACTTTTGTTTTTTGAATGTTCGTTGAACCAATGGGCAACCGCGTCTAGTGGACGCGCTCAGGGCTTGGAGTCCACGTTAACGCAGTGCAGCGTTTCCCGAGCAAGCACGGAGACGCTACCGGAGAAGGAGGCGCTGCCGGAGAATGAGATGCTGCCGGAGAATTCAGCTGTGCGAACTCGAGTGCCGCTGACACAAGGGATAAGGGTGGAGCCTAGTGACATCAACAGGCGATAATAAGCCCCCCAAATGTCCCTCATTCACACGGACGAAGCGAATAGTGGGGGAGATCAGTGTGGCCAGAGCCTCCACCATATGATGGAGCGGGAGCACTGAAGAATTCTTTGACCCCCAGCCATAGATATCAGCAAGCTTTCGTCTGGGGGGAGGGGGGGGTTAAAGCCGCATTGTGTCTTGACTGGAGAAAGAGGAAAGCGCTGGCGTTCCTTGAGTGAGGAAAGTGCTGTGTGATTTGAGGGAAGTGCCCGTTTTGCACCCACTCCCCCCTTGCTGCTTTGCTGCATTTAAAAACTTTCTTGTATATATGTCTTTTTTTTGTGTGTGTGGAATGCAGATGCGGCATTGCTCTTGGTTTGACTCGCCACCACAAGCTTTTCTTTTTTGCTAAAAGAACTCGCCCAAAGCGACATTCCGGGCAGCGTCATTGACAACAGCTTTTTTTTTTTTTCGACAATGAAATTGCTCACAGCCTCTCTGAATCGTCAAATACTACTATTGAGTTGGTAGATAGGAATTTCAGTATCTTTCGATATCAGTTGGCTTTCTGTGAACAAAGGAATTATGCTATCATAGCATTTCTCTCATGAGAACAACGGAGTATGGAAGGGATCTAGCCTATTAATATTTGACAATTATCTGTACAAGTGTTTCATTATAATTTCGAAACACAAGGTAATTGAACCGTTTCTGTCTTCACTATGCGAACTCAGCCTAAGATTCTGCTGTATCAGTGAAGTCGATAAAGTAAAACGTGAAGTATGTAATGTTTCTGAACATAAAAAGCAGCTCTCGGATTTTACGGCTGCTTATAGTTTAAGCATCTCATCTTTAATAATGAGGCCCATTAAAAAAGTTCGTTATAAGATAAGACCGCCAGGCTGAACAAGCAGAGCAGTAGTAGCAGCAGTAATAACATGGGCATGTCGGCTGGTCTCGCGTCGACATCATGTAAAATTCGTTTATTTTCTTCAGGCAGCTTCTCGTCTTGGGATCGACGGGGACGGTCCGAGAGATGCATTGCACATTCGTCCTCGCTGAACCCCTGGAAAATCTTTAAGACTGCGCAGGACAACCAGTGCACTACTACAAGCGGTGCTGGGAAGGATGGGAAGTGCCACGTGCGGCTACATCGACGTCACCGGACAGAGATATAAATACACGGCATCCATCGAGCTTCTTCAGAGGGCATGTCGGCTGGCCTCGCGTCGACATCCGTTTATTTTCTTCATGCAAGTTAGTGATGATGTTTCATTTGTCAAATGTGACGACTCTTTCTTTGTCCAGCTGACATGCCCATGTAGCTTAAGCAGAATCTGTTCTGGTGTACGCGAAATGCTTCTCTCTTTGCTTTTGTTGTGTGGCGACGTTGAGCCGAATCCCGGCCCTGACGTTCATAAGTTGCTTGCTGAGCTTTTGGATGGTCAGAAAAGCATTCGGAAAAGGCTGGATGGCATTGAGCTTAAGTTAAAAAAAAAGTGAAAGAAGTTGCTACGGCTGTCAATGAGGTGAAAACAATGGCGTATAAGTTGGGAAAAAAAGGTCGTAAGCTTGGAAAGCAAGCTAGCTGATCTTGAAGATTGAAATAGGCGGAACAACTTGATTGTCTTCGGTATACCGGAAACAACTAATGAAAGTTTTGATGAACTCAGCGAAAGTGTGTTGAAGGATGTGTTTACGGATATCCTGGAAATACAAGTGTCGTCTGTGGAAAGAGTTCACAGTATTTTTGTGCCGATTTCAAAGTGACATCAACATTTTTTATTAGTGCTTCGCATACCATCGGTTCCCACTGTGCGTGGGATCTGACTTACTTTTCAGTTTTTTCAGAGTGTTCTTTACAAAATACTTTATTGTATAAGAACTACTTGATTGCTTTTACAGTATTGGCACTTTGCAATACCAAATGAAGATCATCTCATGACATACATTTCGCCATCCGCTACTGCCCGCAAAAAAAAAAAAATGGGGCCGATCCCATGTAGTTTGGGAACAGCGCCTCCTCTATTTTTATATGCCTGCTGCGTCGCCCACTCTCCCATTGTCCTTGCTTTGCCGCGACCACTTCTCGAGTCCACCTCAAGGCGGCGCGAGGTTCTGACACTACCTGTTCAGTCAGGGTAGACTTTCGTGGCAGAATAGAAAGCGTGGAAAGCCCGTACTTGCCAGCTATCTTTTTTTTTTAATTGTATCTGCGAGGTCATTGGATTGATTGATATGTGGGGTTTAACGTCGTAAAACCACCATATGATTATGAGAGACGCAGTCGTGGAGGGCTCCGGAAATTTCGACTGTGAGGTTACCTGCATAACTAAAGTTCATTGTCGGCTTGAAAATGCATAAAGCGGAGGATCCAGGAATACAACAAACAAAAACATCAGGATGATGGAAGAAAAGAGCCAGTATGATGAATTTATTCAATTCATTTCTATTTAAATATTGCAACCTTCTACATGATCTTGGCAGCGTGGTACTACACATACATATAAGTGCATAAAACAGAAAATTAACAAGGGAAAACAATCAATGTGTTTGCACATGAGTTTAAAAAGACAAAAGAAACAGGCAAGTGATGTTATTTCAACATTCTTCAAATCAAACAATGACTTAGCATCAATAAAATAAACGCACGAAAAATATCTCAGCTAGGCAAGAAAATGCTTCCTACTGAAAGACATGGTCTTATAGGAAACAAAATTAAACTCCATTCATAAAAAAAGTGAAAAAAGCAGAAGCACCACTTTCATACAATGAGCACTGAACATAAAACAAACTTATCAGCTTGTAGGAAAGGCACTGTTGATGAAGCACATATGCACGCATAAAAAGGCAAAGAGAAACCAGATGCATCACTCAATACAAACTATTCGAAATTAAAGCACTTCCTGCGACATTGGCTTTTTTAATGTAATTTGGCCACTGCATTTTGGTCAGTGATGTCCAATGCGTGGTTAAAAAGCAATGGTTTCATAAATTTCTTGCATGTCAATTCCACAAAACTTCTCCTGCGGCTTTCATCACATTGATCACATCGCAACACAGGTACATTTGTCACAATATTGACGCTGTGCTTCATGCACTCCTCAGGAGGCTTTCGCAGAGATTTGCGGTCGGGCAGCATAATATCTACATACTGCTTAGGAGCATGCAATACTCTGATAAGCTGCTATGTAGGATAGAACAGACCACCTCTGTCTTGGTGTGCGATCAGCCCATCTATACCATAGTCCCCTTTCGGCTTCTGGACTAAAGATATGCAACTGTCACACACAGCTTTTTCGCTCACTACACGAGATATGTATCCAGCGACAAGTGCAATGGCAGCCATGTATGGAGAAGGTATGAAGCTGCTTGTCAACATGCACAGTTCTCAAAGTGATTGCTGAGCAAGCTTCACATTTACAGATACTGCGACTGTGCTGCCATCCACTTGAGCGAAAGTTACTGCTCGCGAAGAGCAGAATGATGCAGAACTGCTCACGTTACTTTTCTGTGATGCTGCAACGATTCCTGTCTTCAGCATCTTCTCTACTCCACAAAGGGCAGTTCGCACGTCTATGACGTCGTTGCAGCCTACCGTTCGTATCAAAAATCCAAAAAAGGATTCTATTGGGTCTCTAGAAAACTTTCTTGTAGAAACTAAAAGTTGCACTCGTTCAAAAGAAATCTTATGCACTCTACACTTGATACGGTTGTAAAGACTAGTGCACGGTATGTTTCCTTGCTTAAAAAGTTCTCCTGTAAGCTGGCTTCCTTCCAGTCTTCCACATACTCCAAAAAAATAAGTTCAAACCAGTGCAGCCTTACGTCTTCGGGGTCAGAAAATTCTTTTGTATCAGGATTGTTTTGGTGAATGTGCTGTTGGCAATAAACCTCTTTCTGTTTGTAAACAGTGTGACGTCGCTGCGGGCACCCCACTCACCATACCCTCTCTCGGAGCAGGTGCTGGTTGGTAAGAAAGTTCCGCCGGGGACATCTTTCTGCAAAACAGAGCTGCGCGTCTGCATTCCTTCGACAGAAATTTCTACATTGCTATTTTCTAAAGTCATAGCTTTTGAAAGAAGGGGGTTGCGGCAGGGTCACTGCTCATAGTGTGGAAATTTGCTTGTCGTAGGTGGATGCAGATACTTTATTTAGAGTACGGAAAGACGCGACAAGCATGCAGTTTTGCTTAATTTTTCGTACACTTTAGAAAATATTGAACTCCCTAAAAGTGATCAGGTGAAATACCTTGGAGTCACGCTTTCAGCAAACTTGAGTTGGGAACCTCATATTGACACCATCTGCAAAAAAGCGTAAGGAAGCTATCCTTTCTTAGAAGAAGGTTGAGAAATGCTCAGGCCCAAGTTAAATTAAATGCAAACAAGACTCTTATTCGCTCTGCCTTAAAATATGCCGACATAATATGGAGTCCCCACCAACAACACCTAATAGACAAAATTGAATGCATTCAGAAATTAGCTGCACGGTTAATCTACTCTAATTATTCGTAGCATTCAAGCGTCACTGACCTAATTAATAGAGCGAATCTTCAGCCTCTTTTCAAACGAAGAATAATTTCTAGGTTAAAGTTCCTATACTTACTCTATCACGGTCATTTTAAGATACTGCGCAATCTGTACTTACAGGACCCATTTAAACACTCACTCAGGACAAACCATAATAAGGTCATCTTTCAACCTGCTAGCCGTGTCAATACACATAAATATTCCTTATTCCCAACGGCCATTAGTTTTTGGAATAGGCTGCCAGTCAATGCTGTGAATTGTTCTACGCTGGAATCTTTTGTCGAGTGTCAAGAAGAGATTGATTTTTCTAAAAATGTATACATGTGAATCATGAAGTATCCTATGTGTATCAATACTTTCTTTCTTTTCTTTTTGTGGAGCGTTATTATGTCTCATGTTACCTCTATGTATCCACTCCTGCATGGGCCCAATTAGGACCTGCAGTATGTACAAATAAATAAATAAAATAAAGTGAGCCTCACCCACGTAGATGGCAACCATGAAAAACATTCCGATCTTTTTCGAAAGGGAACGTTTTCAATGCACACGGTGACTGGCACTTTGAGAAATATTTGCATGGCATGGATGTAAACCTATTCAACTTCTGTCATGGCGTGTGCAAAGCAGTTTTAAACGAGGTTTAGCATTGGCAGCAGCATGCTTTTGAGCTGCTGTGCGCAACGTCACGGATAAGATTCTCACTCATTGAGCAAAAGTCTGATCGGAGAGAATTGAAGAAAAAAAAAAACTTTTTGCCTTACGATAGGCTGAGGTTAACATATCCTAGTGAAAATTAAAGTGAAATTCTGCTGCCACGTTTCTCAATAACTCAGTGAAAATTCACGTGGTGTAAAACCGGACAACTTAATAATATATAATATTATCTGGCACAGTTACTTTGCTGCGTTTGATACCTATAACGTGTTTTCGTGCCTCTATTGCTCCTTTAGGCTTGATACACAAACTTATAATGCACATTGTCACTTGATGAGGACCGAGCCGTAAAAGTACAAAGTGGATAAGAAACGAAAATCTCTGCTGTTTCGTTTAACACGCATCAGGTATCAGATAATAAAAGTTATAACTGTGGTGAAGCGTATATGCAGATTCCGCAACGCTACAACATGCTTATAGCTCATGCGTAGTCGTATATATCAACCGGAGATCATGCACTTTTATTTTTCTGTACGACGCGCATACGCTGAGATGTACCCAGTCGCAGATGATCGGGTCAAATGCATTTTTATCTTGACTAAAATGTCAGATCGTGAAGTTCCATCGACTACTGGTTACCGCAACCGGCCCACAACGAATACCATTGTTTTCGCAAACAAGACCCATCGCGTTATTCACACTGCACACACCACACACAATTATTCCCAGTTTCACGGTCCGTAAGGTGAACCAATATTTTTGATACCTTTCAACGCACACTACACGACACAGTCAACACCGAACATTTTCGAAGACGATGCCGCTGTTGCTCGCACAGGCCGCCACGTGTGTTCAGTTCCCCGAGGTAAACAGCGAGTCAGCGTGGCAAATATTTCATCAGGCACTTTACCACGCATTTAGATGTTCTCCGACACATAAAACAGCTAATGTTGCCACTGTGAGATAAACATTAAGCTTTCAAAAAGAAACAAAAGCTTGCCCCAAGCATCGAGCGACTGCACCTCACTCAGCTGCCGACAGGAGTGTTTTGCTAACCACTGCCTTGCATGTGCACCGGTGACATCACGCTGTGACGTACCCCAATAGAGGTCTATTGCCGACATTCATCAGCACAAACCACCTGTACATGTTCGACATGAATTCCACGGACCTTCATTTGCGAACTTTAGATCACAAGTGTGACCTGCCTGATCCTTCATGAAGTGCAAGGCAGCTGTGACCGGAGGCGAGAGCACTTGAATGGCTGTTCTCACTCCCATTTTTTCAATGTTCTTGGGAAAATGTGCTTTCTAGTAAGAAAGCGAACTGGCTGCACTGTGGAGCCCTGCTGCATTGAGATATACAGATGATATTTATTTATTCCCACCCATTTCTTTCGAGAGGAACTGCGACCGTACATTCTTGATTATATGGCTTTGGTCAAAAGCCAGAAACACTTGCCTCGAAGCATCAGTTGGGTGGGGTATCCGGGTTCGCAGTTGTCCTTGTGACAGAATTTCCATTGCAAGAACGTTTATCTTGTGGTTTTCTGTCGCTAACCGCAGAATGCGGTATCCTAATTTTTCAGTTTTCTTTATAATGAGCTTTACTGCCTTAGCAAGTAGCTCATCTGAACATCCTTTAGTAAATGCATGGTCAACCTCTGTCAGTGAAGACCGAGCACAAGTTTCTTGGTCTCATATTAGACACTAAACTAACGTTCATCCCACACATCAAGTATTTAAGGGACAGGTGCTTAAAAACAATGAACATTTTGAAAGTGTTGTCACGCACTACATGGGGTAGTGACATGAAATGTTAAATGAATTTATATAAAAGCCTCGTAGGCACAAGCCTAGATTACAGTGCTATAATCTATCAGTCGGCAACACCATCAGCCTTGAAAATTCTCGACCCTGTCCACCATCTAGGCATTCGCCTCTCTACGGGTGCTTTCCGAATCAGCCCTCTGGAGAGCCTGTATGTGGATTCGAATGAATGGTCGCTCCACCTACAAAGATGTTCCCTGTACTTTTTGAAGGTGAAGGCAGATAAAAAACACCCTTGCCATTTGACAATTAATGATTTGTCTTGTTCTGGCTTGTTTGAGAACTGTCCTTCGTTTAAGCAGCCCTACGCGCTCCGTGTAAGGGGCCTGGCCGAAGAAACAGGTGTGCCTCTTCTTGAACACAGTTTGATGGCTCCTGCAACATATCTGCCACCGTGGCAGTGACAGCTTATAGACTGTGATGTTTCTTTTGTTGAAGTCACAAAGCACGCACCACTTGCACACATACATACACACTTCCTAGAACTACAACATAAATACACATACCCTGAGTTCTTTACCGATGCGTCAAAGTCAAACACTTCTGTGTCATATGCAGCGGTAGGCCAATCCTTTTCCGAGGCCGGCGTTCTTCATCCTGATGCAAGCATTTTCACAGGAGAAGCTTACGCAATACTGGCGGTCGTAAAACACATCAAACAGATAAAGTTACAAAAGGTGGTAATATACACAGATTCTCTAAGCGTGGTCAAAGCCCCGAAAACTCCTAAAAAACACAAGAATACCGTGCTGGTGTCACTTTACTCACTTCTGTGCACACTGTACACATCAAAACAGCATGTCGTTGTCTGCTGGGTTCCAGGGCACCGTGAGAAACAAGGGAACGTTTTGGCCGACAATCTGGCTGTTTGCGCCAATGACACTACTCCCAATGCATCAACATCAGTCCCTGCACTTGACTTAAAACCTTTTCTAAAACGAAAGCTCAGGGGGTATTGGCAGAGCATGTGGGATAAAAACACAGATAATAACTCCATGCTATTAAGCCGCAACTAGGTTATTGGCCGCCACTATCAAAATCACGACACACAGAAGTAATACTAACAAGGCTTAGAACAGGACATACACATTCTACACATTCATTTCTTCTGCCTACCGGCGATCCACCATACTGTGAAAGATGTGGAGAGCCCCTTACGGTTCTCCACATTCTCGTTCAGTGCAATGAGCTAGATGCTCTAAGAAAAAAGCACTTTTTACTGCCCTACCGACAGCAGCTCCCTCTACACCCCAGAATGCTCATCGGTAGGGATGCGCTTTTTAAACTGCAAACACTTTTCACGTTCTTAAAAGATGTGCATAGCTTTCACCCGATATTTCGAGGTCATCCGTAGCACGACCTCTATAGAGTGGTCGTGGCTGCGGTGACTACATTTTCATCATGGTTTTATTATCGTGACATATTGCCATTCGCTATCACTACACATATGTCACGCCACTGTCATGATTTTATTACTCCCATGTTTTAACCCGCGTTAGAGCGAGGAATTTTAAGGCCCCTTTACAGCCACGCATCATATCATTGTTCATATCTGTAGTCAATTGAAATGGTGCTCTTTGGCCATCAATTGGCCCTTGCGCCATTAAAAACTACTCATCATCAACATCCTTTAGTAAAGAAGTAGCCTATGGGAATTTTAAACCTGCCGTGCAGACCACGAAGCAGAAAACATAAAAGGGAATTCGCAAGCTTACGACGTAGACAAAAGGTGGTTTAGGTCAGGACCTAAATCAATATCTCCCAGAAATGCGACCCTCTGCTTATTATACTGAACTTTTTGTCGGATACGCATCTGATCCACGACGAGGCTGCAGTGTTTTGACAGTGAAGATGTGAGGCACTCCAGCTCAGTACTCAGCTGTGCCTTCACCAAATCACGGTATCCGACCTCATCTACTGAATTTCCCAGGTATTTCTGCCGAGTGGCTCAGCAGGGAAGGGCAAGCAGCTTCTCAGTCATGTGCTCACAGGCTTTTGCTGATAGGTGCCGTAATGTAGTGCACTGTCTGACTGCTGCTTCGGACCATGTTGGCTTTTTTGCCTTGTAGTTAATAACTTGATCTAAGATTAGCTTAGCCTTAGTGCTTGGCAGTTCTGAGTCTTAAACTTGCAGAAACTTGTTTACATGGCGCTCATCTTCCAGGCGATCAAGCCTTCTTATATCTATCAACACTGAGGCACAGCCTTTCATTTTGTGTCTTCAAACTTTTTTCTTTCTCGTGCCACTTCTTTTTTTGCAAGTAGGCAGCTGACGAGTTTGATCCGTTCGTTTGTGTGCCAAAAGACCTCATAGCGCACGCCGTAGGCCCGAGAAGTGGCACATTGCTGGCTTCAGGCAGTTGACGATCCTCCAAGAACTCACTTGTGATGTCGGAAACGCCG